TCAATATTGTATATTATGCTTTTATGGTTTTAAATTGTATATCGTGATTGATTCTTATTCTTGTTGTAAACCACGTTGAGTCGCCCGTTGGGCTGAGAAACTGCAGTATACAAGTAAAGTAAATAAATAAATAAATAAATAAATTTGACTGTGTGGATCATAATAAATTGTGGCAAGTTCTTAGAATCATAGAATCATAGAATCAAAGAGTTGGAAGAGACCTCATGGGCCATCCAGTCCAACCCCCTGCCAAGAAGCAGGAATATTGCATTCAAATCACCCCTGACAGATGGCCATCCAGCCTCTGCTTAAAAGCTTCCAAAGAAGGAGCCTCCACCACACTCCGGGGCAGAGAGTTCCACTGCTGAACGGCTCTCACAGTCAGGAAGTTCTTCCTAATGTTCAGATGGAATCTCCTCTCTTGTAGTTTGAAGCCATTGTTCCGCGTCCTAGTCTCCAAGGAAGCAGAAAACAAGCTTGCTCCCTCCTCCCTGTGGCTTCCTCTCACATATTTATACATGGCTATCATATCTCCTCTCAGCCTTCTCTTGGTTTTATTTATCGTGTCATCCGCAACCAGAACATTGTATTACATTTCTAACAGGACAAAACAAACAAACAGATTTTTTTTAAAAAAAACACACATTTTGCAAACTTGGTAGCTGATTAAATGTCCTTTGACCAGTCTCTGGCCCCTTGGAGTGCCTCTGGTGTTGCCACAAGAAGGTCCTCCATTGTGCATGTGGCAGGGCTCAGGATGCATTACAGCAGGTGGTCAGTGGTTTGCTCTTCTCCACACTCGCATGTCGTGGATTCAACTTTGTAGCCCCATTTCTTAAGATTGGCTCTGCATCTCGTGGTGCCAGAGCGCAGTCTGTTCAGCACCTTCCAAGTCGCCCAGTCTTCTGTGTGCCCAGGGGGGAGTCTCTCATCTCGTATCACCCACGGATTGAGGTGCTGGGTTTGAGCCTGCCACTTTTGGACTCTCGCTTGCTGAGGTGTTCCAGCGAGTGTCTCGGTAGATCTAAGAAAACTATTTCTTGATTTAAGTCGTTGACGTGCTGGCTGATACCCAAACAAGGGATGAGCTGGAGATGTCTCTGCCTTGGTCCTTTCACTATTGGCTGCAACTTCCCGGCGGATGTCAGGTGATGCAATACCGACTAAGCAGTGTAATTTCTCCAGTGGTGTGGGGCGCAGACACCCCGTGATAATGCGGCATGTCTCATTAAGAGCCACATCACTGTTTTAGTGTGGTGAGATGTGTTCCACACTGGGCATGCGTACTCAGCAGCAGAGTATCATAGCGCAAGGGCAGATGTCTTCACTGTGTCTGGTTGTGATCCCCAGGTTGTGCCAGTCAGCTTTCGTATGATGTTGTTTCTAGCGCCCACTTTTTGTTTGATGTTCAGGCAGTGCTTCTTGTAGGTCAGAGCACGGTCCAAAGTGACTCCCAGGTATTTGGGTGCGCTGCAATGCTCCAGTGGGATTCCTTCCCAGGTAATCCTCAGAGCTCGGGATGCTTGTCTGTTCTTAAGGTGAAAGGCGCATGTCTGTGTTTTAGATGGATTAGGGATCAGTTGGTTTTCCCCTGTAATAGGCAGTTAGAGCACCTAGAGCTTTGGAGAGCTTCTGTTCTACCATCTCAAAGCTCCCTGCTTGAGCGGTAATGGCACGATCATCAGCATAGATGAAACTCTCTGTCCCTTCTGGCAGTGGCTGGTCATTTGTGTAGATGTTGAACATGGATGGAGCAAGCACGCTCCCCTGAGGCAGGCGGTTCTTCTGTTTCCGCCATCTGCTTCTCTGGCCCTGGAACTCAACAAAAAAGCTCCTGTTTTGTAGCAGGTTTCCTATGAGGCGGGTTAGAGGTGGTAGTCCTTTGTGATATTATACATTTTTCTCAGGAGGAGGCGGTGGTTCACAGTATCATGCAGTGCTTCCTGTAGGTCAGAGATGTTGATGTTCAGGCAGTGATTCTTGTAGGTTCTTGTAGGTAGGTCTCTGACCTACAAGAAGCACTGCCTGAACTGGGGGGATGGGGGGGGGCAGGGTGTGGGAGAGGCTCAGGAGGGGAGGGGCCATGGAGAGGCTGGAGCCCTGCAGCAAAAGCCTCCCCCTCCCTCCCTCCCTCCCTCCCTCCCTCCCTTCCTCTCTGTGGAAGGGAAGGGGCTGCAATGCCTCAGGCGGCCACCAGGGGCAGCAGCGCCTTGGCCAAACTCCTCCTTTTCCGCCTTCCTGCCTTTGATTTCCGGCGGCCTTCCTTCCTTCCCTCTTGGGCAGGGGAGGCTCAAGGCCTTGTGAAACTGGAACTCCCACCATCCCCTCGCCTGGAGCCACGACGTTGCAGGTGGGGCCAAAATAGCCTTTGAGGGAGAGTGCGAAATGTCCTTTTCCTGGCTTCCTCTTGAGCAGGTATTCTCAAACTGCGGCCCTCCAGATGTTTGGGCCTTCAACTCCCAGAAGCCCAAACGAGCTTGTTCAATTGTCAGGAATTCTGGGAGTTGAAGACCTAAACAGCTGGAGGGCCGCAGTTTGAGCATGCCTGCTCTTGAGGATTGGACCTGGCTGTAGTGGAGGCAATTGTGTAGATTTGTATCCTCTCCCCATAGAGTTCAATTCTAGGTCCAGTTTTATTATATTTAACAATAATATTTGTAGTGTTTTACGTCTCTCTTTGTAAATTAAGTTGTCTATATTTGTTGTTTATTCGTTCAGTCGTCTCCGACTCTTCGTGACCTCATGGCCCAGCCCACGCCAGAGCTCCCTGTCGGCCGTCACCACCCCCAGCTCCTTCAAGGTCAGTCCAGTCACTTCAAAAGCCATCCATCCACCTTGCCCTTGATCGGCCCCTCTTCCTTTTACCTTCCACTTTCCCCAGCATAATTGTCTTCTCTAGGTTTTGCTCTCCAGCAAAGGATCACCGCCTTGTTGTGGCGCTGGAGCTTGAGCACCTCAATGATGTCATGAGCGAAACCGTGAAGGGCCACCCAAGACGGGACGGTCGTGGCAGAGAGGTCAGACCAAGCGTGATCCCTGGGGAAGGCAATGGCAAACCACCCCAGTATCCTTGCCAAGAAAACTAAATGGACCAGTACAACCACAGATATGTCGGTATGCCATTGGAAGATGGGACTCCCAGGTCGGAAGATGGCCAAAATGCTACTGGGGAGGAGCAGAGGATAAGTTCAACTAGCCCCAGGATGTGATGACGCAGCTAGCTCAAAGCCGAAAGGAAGGCTAGCGGCCGACGGTACTGGAGGTGAACGACGAATCCGATGCTCTAAAGATATGCTGGGGAAAGTGGAAGGCAAAAGGAAGAGGGGCCGACCAAGGGCAAGATGGATGGATGGCATCCTTGAAGTGACTGGACTGACCTTGAAGGAGCTGGGGGTGGTGACGGCCGACAGGGAGCTCTGGCGTGGGCTGGTCCATGAGGTCACGAAGAGTCGGAGATGACTGAACGAATGAACAACAACAACAAAGGTTTTGCTGTCTCCTCATGATGTGGCCAAAGGACTTCGACTTTGTCTCTAGTATCCTTCCCTCCAATGAGCATTCGGGCTTAGTATTAGCGTAGGTCTTGTGTGATGATAAACATTACAGTATTTTGTATTTCTTTTGCAGTGCTATTTATTAGAAACTTACTAGAAAACACTTATTTTTATTTATTTATTCATTTTTGTGTCAAGAGCCACTTGAGAAACTGTAAGTCCGAGCGCATCTCCTCCTATGAACCAGTTAGGACATTAAGATCGTCTGGAGAGGCCCTGCTCTCGGTCCTGCCGGCTTCACGGGCTCGCCTGGCGGGGACGAGAGACAGGGCCTTCTCAATGGTGGCCCCTCGGCTGTGGAACGCCCTTCCTGCAGATATTAGATCAGCCCCTTCCTTATGGCATTCTGGAGAAAGGTGAAGACCTGGCTGTATGAACAGGCATTCAACTAGGCAGTGTTACTGGTTATTGATTATAGGGACATGGATAATTGGATAACGAAACTGGATTTTGATTCTATTGATGAGAACTGATGGATTATTATATTGATGTATTGATGTTGATGTTTAATTAATTGGGATGCTATGGCTTTTAAATGTCTAATGGTTCTGTATTGTGTACTCTGAAACTATTGTTATTAACCGCTCTGAGTCACCTAAGGGCTGAGAAGAGCGGTATACAAATGAAATAAATAAATAAGTTGCTTCTAGTGTGAGAAAATTGGCCAGGTGTTTTTTGATGTTTTACCATCCTGTGGGAGGCTTCTCTTATGTCCCCACCTGGGGAGCTGAAGCTGACAGAGGGAGCTCATTCACACTCTCCCTGAATGCGAACCTTTCAGTCTTCAGTCCTACCAGCACAAGGGTTTAACCCATTGTGCCACTGGGGACTCCACATAAGAATGTGAGTAAACTACAACTCTCATCATCACCTTTGATTTCCTCCAAACTGCACCAGGAGTTAAAGTTGAGCTTGGGAGGTCCTTCCTTTGTGCCAAGTTGGGTCCAGATCCATCTTCGGTGGGATTCACAGTGCTCTCTGGATGGGAGGTGAATAATAATAATAATAATAATAACAATAAAACTTTATTTATACCCCGCTCCATCTCCCCCAGGGGGACTCGGGGCGGCTTACATGAGGCCAGGCCCATCAATACAGTAAACACAACATTACACAACAGCATAACACAATATAACACAAGGCATAACAGAACTAAAAAACATAAAATACAAAACCTAAATAATAAGCGAGACAGCAATATAAAGCGGACAGTAAACACACAGAAATTACACAGGGCAAGGCCAAATTTAAGGATAAAATTTTAAAACACTGGGAGATTGGGCAATGGGAAATTGGGTTGTTGTACCTCTGAGGATGCTTGCCATAGATGCAGGCGAAACGTCAGGAGAGAATGCCTCTAGACCATGGCCATATAGCCCAAAAAAACCTACAACAACCCAGTGATTCCAGCCATGAAAACATTCGACAATACAATGGGAAATTGTTGGGGAGGGAGATCCGGATTGAGGAAGGAATTAATTGCACGAACAATAACATAAAGTGCTTCTGAGATCATTTGTGCGCAATTTGGGAAGGAGTATCTTGCAACTCCCTATAACTCCTTATAACTGTAACTCCTATCATCCATTGTTTTTATGTCCCCCTTTTTGTCCAGATCTGTTGTTGGCAGGAATCACAAGGCTCTCTGGATGTGGGAGCCATCTTGGAAAATACATACAGACATACTTTTATTTATATAGGTTCTGCTTTTCCCTTGGTATTGGGAGCCAGGAAGTTTACAAAAAACAATATAAAGTACAGTAAGAACCCTGTATACACAGGAGATGTTTTCTTGGCCGGGCCACAGTTACTTGAAACTGCAGATCCAAATGAATGCCAATAAATTAAATTCAAATGTCCTCACTTCCAAACCCAGCCTGCTACAGAGGTGCATTGGAGGACCTAGAGATTGCCAGAGAGGTCTCCTTTCTCAGTATTGGGTACAGGAAAAGAGATTCCACCTAAACCTTGGGAAGAAACTCCTGAAGTTAAGAATTGTTTGACAGAGGAATCTGCCGCTGCCTTGGAGTGTGATGGAGTCTCCTCCTCTCACTTTTTTTTAACAGAAGTGGGATGGCTGTCTGTTGAGAAGGCTTGGATTGTGCCTTCCTGCTTGGCAGAATGGGACTGTACTGGATGGCCCTTGGGTTCTCTTGCAACTCTAGGATTCTGTGAGAGATGGAGTTATTCCACTCTTACCACCTTTTGAGAAGGAAAAGGAATAGATTTTTAAAAGAGATTACAACCAAACTGAATTTTTATTCTATTTCCCCCTCTACATTTCATTCTTTTTAATTCAGGAAGAAATTCCCTGTTCAACTCAGGAACACGTCTCTTCACTGCCAGAATTGCCTTTATTGATTCCTTCTATTGGATAAGGAAAAAACAGCAACCCTTTGCTCCTGCACATTCAGAGGTTGGGCAACTCTGTTGTTCAAGGTATTTGCCTGGAAGCAACAATAGTGACTCTCTTCATCCCAGAACTGAAGTTTGGTTTGAAGAGAGGAAGGGAATGGAGGAGCTGAATACTGCAAATCTGGAACAAGGAACGCCAAGAGAAAGAGGGAATGCCAGAAGCAGGAATCAGTCCAAATATGTGACCGAGGAGCCAATGTGGAAAGCGCCAAAAGATGGCAACGAGCTTCCAGGTGAAAGGATGCAGCAGCTCTGGGAAGCCCAATGGCAGGAGTTCCTGAAGGCCCTCCAGTCGCCTTCCTCTGCATGGGGAAGCCTTCCGCTAGCACAGGAAATGCCGTGGGAAGATGCCAAGGCTTTCCTGGCCTCCTTCGAGCAAGTGGCCAAAGCCTGTCGGTGGCCAAAGGAAGAGTGGGTGGCCCGGCTGTTGCCCGCATTGAGCGGAGAAGCAGAGCAGGCCTTTCAGAGCCTGGAAGCCGGAGACAGGAATGATTATGGGAAAGTGAAGGCAGCCATCTTGAGAACGGAGGCCCTGAGAGTCGAGCTGCACCGCCAGCATTTTCGGCAGTTCTGCTGCCAAGAGATAGAGGACCCGCGAAGGGTGTACAGTCAAGTCCAGGAGCTTTGCAGTCGTTGGCTGAAGCCGGAGAGACACAGCAAGGAGCAGATCCTGGAGCTGCTGGTCCTGGAGCAATTCCTGGCCAGTCTTCCCCAAGACCTGCAAGGATGGATCCGAGGCACAGGGCCGGAGACCTGTTCCCAGGCTGTGGCCCTGGCAGAGGACTTCCTCCTCAAGAGGCAGGAAGTGGTTGATTCCGCCAAATGGCAGGTGAGACTCCAAGGGCGATTCAAGCAGTGGCTGTGATTGTATTCTCTTACAAAATCAAATGGGGTTTGGATTAGAAAGGGCTTCTGAAACTTTTGCACCCACACTTTAGCGGCTGAGGGGGAAAGGGAAAGGGCCTGGGGCTGTTAGGAATTGTGGGAGTTGTAGTTCAGAGCAGCTGGAGGGCTGAAGTTTGTGCATGCGTGCTCTATATACAACATGCATGAGGAAAGTAGAGTTAATGCAGTAGAAGCACAACAGATCAGTGTTTAGGTCAATGCTGTTGAACATGAGGAGGGCCTGATGGGCATGTCTTGCATTTCCAGGGTCTGCTGGACCACAAAGACATAGGCACCTCTTTGCAGAGTGTTGAGCAGACACTGTCCCAGCCAGGCCAACAGACCATCTTCTGGCAAGTCCTGCAGGAGGAGGGTAGAAGCACCCAGCCATTTGGTAAGGGCAGCTCAGTTTCATGATTTGTCACTTTATGAAATTGAGGCCTCTTCCACACCTGTATAAAATCCACATTAAACTGGATTATATGGCAGGGTGGACTTAGATAACCCAGTACAAAGCAGATATTGTGGATTGCCTACCTTGATATTCTGGGTTATATGGCTATGTGGAAGGGCCCTGAGAGGAGAGGGAGAAGCAGAGATGGCTTCAAGTGCTATATATATATGTATATATAGCCGGCCCTCTACATTTGCGGATTGTATGTGTGGATTTTATTTAAATGTTCTCCTTAGGAATCTCTAGAACCCCCAGTACGATTCTGTGACCAGTCTCCAGCAGACGTTGATCATAGAGTCGTGCTGCAGGACCTAGGAATTACTATAAAGGATCTTCTGAGCCCTTAACCCCAGTGAATGGTGGAGTGTTTTGACTGTACTATAAGCACAGCCTGAATATTTATTTATTTATTTCAAATATTTATCTCACCCCCGAGGGGGGATTCACGGCGGCTTACAGCAGGCATATCCCTTTACGTACATGTATATATATAATGAGGGGTCATGGGTTTGGGATCCAACTGTAAACATGAAATTCCTTTATATTTTTTGTACATAACTTTGGCTTGGTTGAGAACTTTCATCTGTTAGTATGTACCAATTTGTGAGATGCAGATGTAACCATTAGGCACAGTCTCATGTACATAGTAGAAGTAATCATGAAACAGAAGAATGAAATGGGTGTAGCTGACTTTTCCCAGGGGCAGAAGGGAAGCCAAGGTACAGGAGGAAGTTCAGGACAAAGGCTTCCTGAGCATGAACAGAATTCCTCTCTCTTTGTTTGCAGGTGAGGTGAAGGCAACTTCTCTCAAGGTGGAGGTATCTCAGCATGAAGGGGATGAGCTGGAGGAGAGGCCCGGGGCAGTGCCACTTGTAAACCAAGGAGATGGACTGTTGACGGCAGAGACGTGTGGACAAAGAAGTGAGTCCAAGGGGGGAAAAGAAGGGGCTTCTGTGAGCTCCAAAGGAGGCAGGAAGGCTAGGCATGTCTTGTGGCAAGAAAAAGCTAAACAAAACCACAGAACAGTAATTTGGGAAATGCTCTGTTTCACCAAATGTGGTTGAAGGGATTGCCACAGTGTCTCCTGGGAAAAACCAAGAAGAGCATCTCAAAAGCTGATCCTGATCAGGGTCAAAGGAGGCATAAAATAAAGAAATGGTAGATATGTGGAAGGAAAGCCATAGAGGGGAGAAAACTACATATTCATGAAGTAAATGCAGGGAAAATGAACAGAACATTTTGAGACAACAAAGAATTCCTATTGAAGGGAAACCTAGGTATCCTAAATGTTGAGAAAACGTCTCCTTGAGATCAAGTTCGTTAAACTGTCAGGGACATTGTATTGAAGATAAATCTCATGAATACCCAGAACATTGGGCACACAGTGCTGGCACACATTAGATTTGGTTTTCTGTCAGGGATAGGAAGAAGGTGGCGGTGTAGAAGAACTGACCATCACTCCATTGCCATGGACCGACCACCACCTGATCTGGTTTCGACTAATTGCGCCCCCAAACCTCTGCAGGGGTGGTGGACCTATTAAAATGGTCCTCCCCAGGAGACTTATGGATCCTAATGGATTCCTGACAGCTCTTGGGGAGTTTTCTGCCTCCTCTGTAAGTGACTCTGTCAATGCTCTGGTCTCCCTCTGGAATGGGGAGATGTCCATGGCAATAGACACAATCGCTCCGGAACGTCCCCTCTCGAGTAACCGAGCTAAACCAGCTCCTTGGTTTACTGAAGCGATGAAGCGAAAGAAGATGAGACTAGAGTGCGTGTGGCGGCGGAAGCGTAGCAGATCAGCCCAAACACGTCTGGATGCTTTCCTAAGGCACTCTGACGCGGCAATAAAAGCCGCACAGAAATCTTTTCCTGCGGCCAAAATTGCGTCCAGAAAGAACCGTCTGGCTGAGTTGTTTCGAGTTGTCAGAGGGCTGTTAAACCCGCCTCAGAGCGAGATCCCTGACAACTCGGCAACTCACTGTGAAGCATTTGCGCAGTTCTTTGCAGACAAAGTTGCTCTGATCCATTCTGGCTTTGACACCATGTTAATAGCAGTCTCTGAGGATGTAACAAGAGCACCTTCTTGTCCGGTTAATGGATTTCAATTGGTTCAGCTCGAGTATGTGGACAGGATCCTTGGAGAGGCGAGGCCAACCACATGCATCCTAGACCCCTGCCCATCCTGGCTGTTGAAGGAAGTCAGAGGGGGGTTGGCAGAGTGGGTTAAGGTGGTGGTTAATGCCTCCCTATGGGAAGGCAAGATTCCAGCCAGCCTAAAACAGGCTGTTATAAAACTGCTGTTGAAAAAACCATCACTGGACCCCACTCAATTAGTCAACTATCGGCCAGTATCCAAACTCCTCTACTTGGGCAAAGACATGGAACATGTGGTGGCTTCACAACTTCAGGGGTTCCTGGTAGACACTGATTATCTAGATCCAGCACAGTCTGGTTTTAGGCTGGGACATGGAACTGAGACAGCCTTGGTCGCCTTGGTAGATGATCTTCGCCGGGAGCTAGACAGGGGGAGTGTGTCCCTGTTAGTTCTGCTGGACCTCTCAGCGGCCTTCGATACCATCGACCATGGTATCCTTCTGGGACGTCCAAATCTGTCACTCCTTCTCACCTATCACCAAGGAGGTTGTCCAAACCTTGAACCGGTGCTTGGCTGCTGTGTCAGACTGGATGAGAGCTAACAAATTGAAATTGAATCCAGATAAGACAGAGGTCCTACTGGTCAGTCGAAAGGCCGAACAGGGCATAGGGTTACAGCCTGTGTTAGATGGGGTTACACTCCCCCTGAAGACGCAGGTTTGCAGCTTGGGAGTGATCCTGGATTCATCACTGAGCTTGGAACCCCAGGTCTCAGCGGTGGCCGGGAGAGCTTTTACACCATTAAAACTTGTGCACCAGTTGCACCCGTACCTTGGGAAGTCAGATCTGGCCACAGTGATCCACACTCTTGTTACATCCCAAATAGATTACTGCAACGCGCTCTACGTGAGGTTGCCTTTGAAGACTGTTCGGAAAACTTCAATTAGTCCAACGGGCGGCGGCCAGATTACTCACCGGAGCGTCATACAGGGAACATACCACCCCTCTGTTATGTCAGCTCCACTGGCTGCCGATCCAGTTCTGAGCACAATTCAAAGTGCTGGTTTTGACCTACAAAACCCTATACGGCTCTGGCCCAGCGTACCTGTCCAAACGTATCTCCTTCTACGTCCCGCCTCGGAGTTTAAGATCTTCTAGGGAGGCCCTGCTCTCGGCTCCACCTCTATCACAAGTGAGGTTGGTGGGGACAAGGAGCAGGGCCTTCTCAGTGGTGGCCCCTCACCTGTGGAATTCGCTTCCCAGGGAAATTAGGTCATCGACATCCCTCCTCTCTTTTAGAAGGAAACTAAAAACATGGATATGGGGCCAGGCCTTTGGGTAATCTGGCAGACAGACAAAGGACAATGACGACTAGAACTGGATAGGATTATGACAATGCGGAATGAACTTACGGATTTTGAGCGTGGCGAACGTTGATCACTAGTTTGGTTTTTATTAGTTGTATTGTATAATTGGATTGCTATGTATTTTATCTTACTATGTGTATTGCTGGCATCGAATTGTGCCTTTTGTAAGCTGCCCTGAGTCCCCCTTCGGGGGTTGAGAAGGGTGGGGTAGAAATGCCCGAAATAAATAAATAAATAAATAAATAAATGGAAAATGGAAAAAAAAGGTAGACATGTACAAGGAAAGCCATAGAGGGGAGAAAATGACATATTCATGAAGTAAATGCAGGAAAAATGAACAGAACATTCTGAGACAATGGAGAATTCCTATTGAAGGGAAACCTAGGTGTCCTAAATGTTGAGAAAACGTCTCCCTAAGTTCAAGTTCATTAAACTGTCAGGGACATTGTATTGAAGGTGTACCTCATGAATACCCAGAACATGCGAGAGAAATGTCCTATAAAAATGAATTATTCCCACATCAGGAGGGGGAAAGGATCTCCACATGTCCCGATTATAGAATGATTATGTCCATCAAAGCATACAGAGTAGCCACTGGTGAAGGAAGCCAAGTTGGCTCTCTTTCTCTTTAATTTCCTCCCAAAAAAGAAGCAGAACCACACATTCTCTCAAAGCAAAAGTGAAAAGTACCACTGTGGATGGAAAGAGAGTACTAGTTGAAAAGAATAAAAAATAACTGAAATCCTGAAGTGGCAAGAAAGGAATAGAAGTATCAGTAATGAGAAGTAGAAGGAAACAGAGTTTGGGGGACGAGAAAGGTGACGAGGACTTGAACGAAATTACTCTCTGTGTCTCTTTAGGTGATGAAAAGAGATGCTGGATCCAAGCAGGGGCCTCTGAGCCAGGGGAATCTTTGCCAAAGGAAAGTCACAAGGTGCGGGCAGAAACTTTTCATCAGAGTGTCCCCATGGCACCCAAAATCCATGACCCCAGATATGGGTCTGGGAGACAACAGAGAAGAAAGCCACCAAATGAGGACGACAAAGAACCCAGTGGGCTGACTCAAAGACTTAAATGTGCTACTGATGAAACCTCCCAGGTTCCTGTAGAAGGAATAAAGGCCTTGCTTCCCAAGAGTGCAAGAAAATCCTGCTACAAATCTGATCTTGGGGTCACAGGTCTAGTGCAAAGCCCTATGGCATGCCCCATGTCAGGGGAAGATATCTGGACGAGATCGTTTCTCAGTCAGCCTCAGGAATCCTTTAAAGGAGAGAACCAGCAAATCACTTCTGAATGTGGGGAAAGTCCTCATCAAAGATATGTTTCTGTTCAACTCCAGAATATCCACTCAGGAAAGAAACATTATGAGTGTCTGACGGATAGGAGAAGCTTTAGACACAAACAGACTTTGAAAAAGTATCGGAAGGGTGATTCAAGGAGAGAGTTGTATATATGCACTCTGTGTGGGAAAAGCTTTTCTACTAGGGCAGAATTAACCAGACATCAGAGAATCCATACTGGAGAGAAACCATACAAATGTCTTGAGTGTGGGAGAAGTTTTAACCGCAGGGAGAACTTGATGAGACACCAGAGGATTCATACTGGTGAAAAACCATACGAATGCCCTTGGTGTGGGAGGTGTTTCAGATGGAAAGAACAGTTGGCTCATCATCAGAAAAGCCATGTTGGAGAGTAAAGCAAAACTGATTGCATATTTGAGAACTCAAGATGGAGATCTTACAGTGAGACATTTCTCCTGATTTGCCACCCTGGCAAATACCATCCATCCACCTTGCCCTTGGTCGGCCCCTCTTCCTTTTTCCTTCCATTTTCCCCAGCATCGTTGTCTTCTGTAAGCTTTCCTGCCTTCTCATTACGAGGCCAAAATACTTCATCTTTGCCTCTACTATCCTTCCCTCCAATGAGCAGTCGGGCTTTATTTCCTGAAGTATGGACTGGTTGGATCTTCTCGCGGTCCAAGGCACTCTCAGGGTTTTCCTCCAGCACTACAGTTCAAAAGCATCTCTCTTCCTTCGCTCAGCCTTCCTGATGGTCCAGCTCTCACATCCATAGATAACTACGGGGAATACCAACAACGAGGATCCGGTACTCTGGTGAGTGGAAAGAGAATTTTCCCTGATTTTTCCCAATAAATCTCACCAAAGTTGAAGAAAAGCCACCGAGTTGTATTTATTTCGTCCAGCTGGTACGGATGTCAAACCGCGATAGTTCGTTAGGAGAGACATACATTCAATACATTGCAGTACATTTTTATAGAAAAACAGAGCTGTCAAAGTTCAAATTTCCCGCCCCCTGCCCCTCAGCCAGCATTCTCCTGATTGGTTGTTGTCATCAGCTAGGGAGGAGGTGCGGCCGGCTTAACCGCGCCTTGGCCAATCAGAAAGCCAGTGCCGCTTCGAGCTCTCAACCAGTGGGAGCGGAGGAGGTGGTCCTTGGGATGAACAATCAGAGGAATGACCAGATGATTGAATTGAAATAACTTGATGTGTCCTAATGGCTAGCGATAAATCAAATAATAGATTCCTCAAGACGGTCGGGTCTCTTGAAAGGGTGAGATATGCAGATATGGCTGGCACGATCGCCAAGCCCTGGTATTTCCTTGTCACAGAGATTGGATCATCTTGTTCTTATGTTTCTCTCAGTCCATGGGAAAATGAGAAAAGGAAGGAAAACTGGGACATCCTGGCTTCCCTTGAAAGCAGGATGTCTCTGTTGGTAGATGACTAGTTCACCAGGGGGCTCCCCTCAAGCGAGGAGAGACTCTAGGGGGCCAGGTTATTATCATGCAATCAGTCTTTGTTTAAAACCTTGAATCAATAGGGAAATGCCTTGGGAAATGGGCTATCCAAGGCTGATGTCATGCTGGAGGTCACAAAAAGGTGGCTTCCCCATATTTCATATACAGACATACACACAGGGGTCAGGGGAGATACATAAGGGATAATGAAGCATAAGGGAATTTCAGATACACCCATCCCACCCACTAGAGTCCAGAAGTCCACAAAACCATTTCAGTAAGGCCTTCGACAAGGTCCCCAATGAGCTTCTGGCAAACAAACTAGTCCAATGTGGGCTAGGCAAAACTACGGTGAGGTGGATCTGTAATTGGTTAAATGGACGAACCCAGAGGGTGCTCACCAATGCTTCCTCTTCATCCTGGAAAGAAGTGACGAGCGGAGTGCCGCAGGGTTCCGTCCTGGGCCCGGTCCTGTTCAACATCTTTATTAATGACTTAGATGAAGGGCTAGAAGGCAGGATCATCAAGTTTGCAGACGACACCAAATTGGGAGGGATAGCCAATACTCCAGAGGACAGGAGCAGGATTCAAAACAATCTTGACAGATTAGAGAGATGGGCCAAAACTAACAAAATGAAGTTCAAAGTGACAAATGCAAGATACTCCACTTTGGCAGGAAAAACGAAATGCAAAGATACAGAATGGGGGAATGCCTGGCTCAAGAGCAGTACGTGTGAAAAAGATCTTGGAGTCCTCGTGGACAACAAGTTAAACATGAGCCAAGAATGTGATGTGGCGGCAAAAAGCCAATGGGATTTTGGCCTGCATCAAGAGGAGCATAGTGTCTAGATCCAAGGAAGTCATGCTCCCCATGCTCTATCCCACTTTGGTTAGACCACTTTACCTGGAATATTGTGTCCAATTCTGGGCACCACAATTCAGGAGAGATATTGACAAGCTGGAATGTGTCCAGAGGAGGGCGACTAAAATGATCAAGGGTCTGGAGAACAAGCCCTATGAGGAGCGGCTTAAGGAGCTGGGCATGTTTAGCCTGAAGAAGAGAAGGCTGAGAGGAGATATGATAGCCATGTATAAATATGTGAGAGGAAGCCACAGGGAGGAGGGAGCAAGCTTGTTTTCTGCTTCCCTGGAGACTAGGACGTGGAACAATGGCTTCAAACTACAAGAAAGGAGATTCCATCTGAACATGAGGAAGAACTTCCTGACTGTGAGAGCCGTTCAGCAGTGGAACTCTCTGCCCCGGAGTGTGGTGGAGGCTCCTTCTTTGGAAGCTTTTAAACAGAGGCTGGATGGCCATCTGTCAGGGGTGATTTGAATGCAATATTCCTGCTTCTTGGCAGGGGGTTGGACTGGATGGCCCATGAGGTCTCTCTTCCAACTCTTTGATTCTATGACTCTATGATTCTATCCCTTAATCATGAAAAAGGGTGTTCATGCAGGAAAGTGGGGAGAGGGGTCCCTGATACCTAAAAGTTCACAAAAGTGGAAATAAATGGCAAGGGAAACATAAAGCATAAGGTTTCTCCTGGTTAACCTTTAGCTTAGATATGTAAATGTTTCTCAGCTCAAAAAAGGACTCCCTTTTGTTTGTGAATCATTGACTGAGATGGGGAACTATTAGGAGAGTCGTTAATTCTCTAGCCCAGGTGTGTCTCAGATGGAAAAAGTCAAATGCTTTTGTAGCATGGTTTTCAGTAATAAATTTGTTACCTGATATATATGAAAATAGGGCATAAAACCTTGATTAAATGATACACACTATCTAACATGGGAAGGGTCCTTGTCCTTAGCAAGACTATAAGTTACTATCTTTTATTTGGGGGGGGGGTCATGTGATTAAACCATTACAGTTACTGGATTTCTGTGAGTAATATTATTTAGGGCAGCTTTTGATGGTCTTCAAATCCTTTGTTCTTTGAAGCAAAACACTCAGAATGGGGTGATGTACATACACATACACCTAAATGATCCAAGGTGAGCAAAGATATTTTGAATCAGATGGAAAGCAAGAGATGCCAGGAGAAAAGACCAGATGACACACATTAGGAAAGCAGTGGCCAGAACAGAAACAAATGTCCTCTTTCTCTCTCTTCAGGTGATGAAATGGGTTCTTGGAACGAGATGAAGATACCTCAGCAGGTAGAGTCATCACTAACAGAAGCATCTCAGAAGTGTTCGCTTATGACATCCAACAGTCATGAGATGAGACAGCAGCTCAGAGGTCAGGAGTCGAAGAAGTTAGTGGAGACAGAGAGGAAACACACCAAAAGTGTTATAGATGATGATAACAAGGCCTCCACAAACACGGGGAAGCCATTGTTCTCCAAATATGGGAGAAAATACCACGATGTGTCAGATGAGTTTGCTGATCTGAACCCAAGAAAGATAGATGCTGAATGTTATGAAGATGGAGAAAGAAACACGAGCCACAGACAGTCTTTACAGAGATCCCAAAATGTACCTACAGGAAGGAAACTACAGAAATGTGCTACCAGTGAGAATTGCTTCAAATCTATAGCGCACCTAGCAAGCCCCCAGCAAAGTCACACTCAACAAAAGCCACACCAATGTTCTCAGGATGAGAAAAATAATCTGGTGAGGCACCAGGGAAGCCTTACTGAGGTGAACTCCTATAAATGCTGCCAGTGTGGCAAATGTTTCACTCAGAGATCTAGCTTAAAGAGTCACCAGGTAATCCATACTGGGATGAAACGCTATACATGCTCTCAGTGTGGCAACTGCTTCACTATGAGATCTAGCTTGAAGGACCATCAAAGAATTCATACTGGAGAGAAACCGTATAAATGCTCTCAGTGTGCCAAGTGTTTCACTCAGAGAGCTAGCTTGAAGGAACATCAACGAATTCATACTGGAGAGAAACCCTATAAATGCTCTCAGTGTGCCAAGTGTTTCACTCAGAGAGCTAGCTTGAAGGAACATCAAAGAATTCATACTGGAGAGAAACCCTATAAATGCTCTCAGTGTGGCAGTTGTTTCAGTCAGAGACGCAGCTTGAAGGACCATCAAAGAATTCATACTGGAGAGAAACCCTATAAATGCTCTCAGTGTGCCAAGTGTTTCACTCAGAGAGCAAGCTTGAAGGACCATCAAAGAATTCATACAGGAGAGAAACCCTATGAATGCTCTCAGTGTGGCAGTTGTTTCAGTCAGAGACGCAGCTTGAAGGACCATCAAAGAATTCATACTGGAGAGAAACCCTATGAATGTTCTAAGTGTGGGAAATGCTTCCGACGGAGGGCAGATTTAACTCTCCATCAGAGAATTCATATAGGAGAGTAATGTTATATACAGACAATAATATGTCAAAAATACGGCCTCCGAGCAACTTGTAGGAGGCACAGAAGAAAAACAAAGTGTGCAGCCTTCATTTAACTTCAAAGCCTTGAAATGACACATTTATTTAGTTACTTTCTAAAAGCTACAAAAACAATAAACATAACTTATGTACAGGAGAAGTTACAGATGCATCTTGCTTCTTGCCTAACATTGCTGCAAGAATGAATGACTTGTTCCTTATCAGATTCCACGCTGCCGGAACCTGTGATGAAAAGAAGAACTAAGCAAAGGTTATGTATGCTCTTAGGCATTAAATCACTGCTCTGTACATTTAACTCTTGTTTAGCATTCCATTCTGCACCAAACCCAGAACTTTAAACTATGAGCAATATTTCACCTTAATTAAACAACCGTACTGACATAATAAAAGTTTGACAAAAGTAGTTTTAATGCCATTTGGTTGTATCTACCATTTCATGTAACTGCAATTCAACCAGGAAAGTATCCTCTGGGGGTCTTACTGTAAATAAAGAGCAGTTGCCAGAAAATACTTGTTGCATGTATCTGTGGTTGATCTTGGTATCCAGTATGTCATAACAACTGTTTTATTCCACATTTTTGGTTTTGCTGACAAAACTGCACGTTTGGAATACGCCTTGCCAAAACATTTGCATGTCTGAGTATCAGGGTTCAGATTCTTTCCCCTCTACCCTTCCCTGATGTTTGAGTGATTCCATTTCCTCTCCAGAAGGAGAGATCATAGAATTACTGAGTTGGAAGAGACCTCATGGGCCATCCAGTCCAATCCCATTCTGCCAAGAAGCAGGAAAATCTCCTTCAAAGCACCTCCGACCTATGGCCATCCAGCCTGTTTAAAAGCCTCCAAAGTAGGAGCCTTCACCACATTCTGGGGCAGAGAGTTCCGCTGCTGAACAGCTCTCACATTCAGGAAGTTCTTCCTAATGTTCAGGTGGGATCTCATTTCCTGTAGTTTGAAGCCATTGTTGCATTGCGTCCTAGTTTCCAGGGCAGCAGAAAACAAGCTTGCTCCTTCCTCCCTATGACTTCCCCTCACATATTTATGCATGGCCCTCATCATGTCTCTTCTCAGGCTTTTCTTCTGAAGGCTAAACATGCCCAGCTTTTTAATCCATTCCTCATAGGGCTTGTTCTCCAGACCCTTGATCATTTGAGTCACCCTCTTTCTCTGGACACATTCCAGCTTGGAGTCAACATCTCCCTTCAATTGTGGGGCCCAGAAATGGATACAATATTCCAAGTGTGATCTGACCAAGAGTGGTAGCATGACTTCCCTGCACCTAGATATTACTTCTCTTTATGCAGGCCAAAATCCCATTGGCTTTTTTTGCTGCTGCATGACATTGTTGCCTCACGTTCACCCTCCCCATGAGGACTTTTCCACATGTACTGCTGTCGAGCCAGGCATCGCCTCCCATTCTGTATCTTTGCATTTCATTTTTCTCCTGCCTAAGTGGAGTATCTTGCATTTGTCCCTGTTGAACTTCATTTTGTTAGTTTTGGCCAATCATCTCTCTAATCCTGAACATAGAAAAAGAAGCAAGAGCCACAGACAGTCTTTACAGAGATCCCAAAATGTTCCTACATGAAAGAAACTGCATAAATGTGCTACTAGTGAGAATGACTTCAAATCTAGAAGGTACCAGGAACGCCACCAGCAAAGTCACACTGGACAAAAGCCACACCAGTGTGCGAGAAATGCTTCAGCCGGAAAGATAATCTGGTGAGGCACCAGGTAATTCATACTGGGATGAAACACTATACATGCTCTCAGTGTGGCAAACGATTCACTTTGAGGTGTAGCTTGAAGAATCATCAACGAATTCATACTGGAGGGAAACCCTATGAATGCTCTCAGTGTGGCAAGTGTTTCACTCAGAGATCTAGCTTGAAGGAACATCAACGAATTCATACTG